TACAGAGCTTAAATCCGCGAAGAAGGGCACCTCCAAGTCCCTTAAGGCAGCGAAGAAGGGGAAAGAAGCGGTGCCTGCACTGGGTGATGCCCCTATAGTGCCTCCTGTTCCAACGGCAGTATCGATATTGGAGGCCTAAGTCCCTCCACCGATACCGACCATCCATGTATTGGATTCCCCTGTCCACCAAATGGAGCCTCCTTACTCTGACATTGAAACGTAGAGCTCCTAAGTCATCCGATGGATGCATAGCATTCTCCGTCTCCTCCGTCGTCGACATCGACGGTATTGGAAGCTCCTGACATTGATCCATGTCGGCACCGATATACCTCATGTGACACGCAGCGTCACCCTCCTCGTCTGCACACTCAATCTGTCAATATCGACGACCGACATTACAGGGACAGTGCCCGCAGACAAGCTAATGCTTTGTCTCCCAGACGTCCACAGTCTAGAAGTCGCTCCCCCAGAGTCTTCCTACCCACCCCCCCATGTCGTGGGATCAAAGACAGTTGAGATACCTCTACGGGGCTTATCCACCATCCATGCCGTGGTTAACTCAAGCGGGCTATTCTGATTGGGCTCACTATTCGACCCACTCCGTTCATAGGTTGAGATCCCCCCACAAGTCGAGACCATCAGCATCTCTGTCGCCTCCAAATCCAAGAGAACGCATTCAGCACCTTCTGACAAGGAAGGTAAGAAGTTAGATGCTTTCGGCAGGCACTTCTACTCCGCAGGAGCGTTGGGAGTCAAGGCTACCAACTACTTGGCCTGTATGAACCGGTATCAATACGCTCTCTGGGAACGGTTGTCGGAACTTCTAACCCACCTCCCAGACGACAAACTTCAGGCAGCCAGAGTCATCCAAAAAGAAGGCATGGTGTTGGCAAAACAACAGCTCAACACTACCAAACATGTCCTCGAAGCGTCTTCATGAACGATGGCTTCTGCCATAGCACTCAGAAGACATTCCTGGCTCCGCAACACTAATCTCCCGTTAGATACTATGTCTTACGTGGAATACCTCCCCTTCGACGGCCTGGGACTTTTCAATGCTACCACTGACTCTACTCTACAAGAGTTAGATAAAAGCATTAAGGCTTCTCGAGCTCTGGGAGTCTCATCCTCTGCAAAACAACAACACCATCCCCGCACCTGGTCAAGGTCCTGGCAGAGGCGTACCCCAACTCATCAGTCTCCAGACACACGATGGAGATCGCGAATGTCTTCGGGAGGCCAACAATCCGCCTTTCAGAAACCGAAATTCGGTTCCAGACAACAAACTTCCCGCACCAAACAGTCCAAACCCTCGAAACAGGGTTTTTTACTTCCCCGTAATCGAGTCAGCTCCTACCCGTCTGTTTCCCTTTCTTCACGCTTGGCGTCGCATCACCTCGGACGAGTGGGTGCTCTCCATCTTGACCCGAGGTTACAAAATTCAGTTCCTCCAGAACCCCAATACTCCTGTCATCATCTCCACGCCCCCTTCCCCACCTCTCCTCAAGGAGGTGTCCGTCCTTCAGCAGAAGGGAGCCATTGAACAGGTACCACCACACCTCCAAGGGACGGGATTTTATTCCCAATACTTCACAGTCCTGAAGAGAGACGGAGGCGTTCGACCCATATTAGATCTCAGGGAACTGAACCGTCTTGTGACCTACCATTGCTTCTGCATGGTATCCCTACAACAGATCATGCCACTGCTTCGCAGACATATTTGGATGGCCACTCTCGACCTCCAAGACGCATATTTCCACCTTACTATCCACCCCTTCCACCGTCAATACCTACGCTTTGCTATTGGTCAACACCACTATCAATATACAGCCCTTCCATTCGGCCTTTCCAGTGCCCCAAGAGTCTTCTCGAAGACCATGATTGTAGTTGCAGCTCTGCTTCTGAGCGTGGTCCCCAAAATTCTCAAAGACAACGCTGACTGTATCTTAATAACACCATGTTAGCTGAGACAACCTTGGTTTTCAATGGTCCTCGAAATATCACGGGGGATATACCATCAGTTTCCTCCGGCTCAGGACCTCCTCCTTCTCTCAGACTCCCCTGTCCTACATCACGACATACCACAGTTGAAACTGACGGCATAGCAGATAACATCACCGGCTTCTCCTCCTGTGTAGTGAATGTCCTTTTGAATTCCAGGAAGCCTACTACGTGCAAGTCCTATGATTATAAATGGAGAAGATTCTGTTCTTCCCTAGGTGATGACGCCCCTCGAGCCACCTCAGTGGGTCTCGAAAGAGTTTTCCAATTCCTCCTCTCCTTAGCTGACTCGGGACTTTCCCATTCGTCGTTAAGAGTTTATTTGGCCACTCTCTCGGCCTACCATGTTCCAGTGGACGGATGCACTTTGTTTTCTCATCCGATTTCCAACCGGTTTTTAAAAGGTTTGTTACACCTCTACCCTCCTGTAAAAACTCCAGTCGCTCCCTGGGACCTTCCTCTATTTCTACGCCAGCTCACGAGGAAGCCCTTTGAGCCGCTTGCAACATGCGACCTCAAACTCCTCGCATGGAAAACTGCCTTTTTAATTGCCATTACTTCGGCTAGGCGAGTGGGAGAAATATTGGCTTTCCGACACGATACACCTTTCCTGTCCTTTCTCCCAGACAGAGTCCACCTCGTTCCGGACATCTCTTTCCTTCCGAAGGTGGTGTCAGAGTTCCACCTGCAGGCGGAGATCTTCCTCCCTGACTTCTTTCCAAATCCTACGTCACCGGAGGACAGATTATTACACACCTAGGACGTAAAGCGGTCTCTCCTGTTCTACCTCAGTAGAACACACCCGACTAGACGAAAGTCACAACTATTCGTCTCGTACGCTCCGGCACGACTGGGTACGCGCATCATGGCCCAGCGCCTGTCAAAGTGGATTGTAGGTCTAATCCATCTATGTTACCTACTCGCCAAACAGCCATTGCCTGGCCATATCAGGGCTCACTCTACCAGGGCTCTCGCGACTTCCACTGCCTTCCTCCAGGGAGTACCACTGCCGGACATTTACAAAGCCGCTACCTGGGCCACGCCTAACACCTTCATCAGGCATTATGCCCTAGACGTCCATACCAACACCAGTACCAACATGGGGCGTCACATTCTGTCTTCGGCTACGCAGTAAAAGACCTGCCAGCACCCACCTCCAGGTAGGCTACTGCTCGCTAATCTCCCATGGGTGTGAAGCACTGAGACCACGTCGAAGATAAGCAGGTTGCTTACCAGTAATTGGTGATCTTTAAGTGGTCATCTGTGCATTCACACCACCCGCTCTTCTTCCCCGCTGCTGTCAGCGTCTACATTTTTAATAGGGGTTGATTTGTGGCGGTTTGTAGGAACTGGCGGGATGTCCACGCCCACCCCTCTGGGCATGCGTGGTGGGGTTCCTGCGCATGCCCGAGGGACTGGGCGCGAAAATCCGTTAAAAGAGCTTGCTACAGCACCGATCGATCCAGCGCGTGCGCACTAGATCCCATGGGTGTGAATGCACAGATGACCACTCGAAGATCACCAGTTACTGGTAAGCAACCTGCTTTTCTCTGGAGTCGAGTGTCCAGACTTCTGCCTAGCCCTTGCTCATGTTTCCTTTGTATATTTTGAGTGTCTGGTACATGTAGTGAACATTCTCTAAATAGTCAGGTAGCTTGAGCGTGTGTTTGAATATGATTATTTTCCCAAGCCATATTTTACC